AGAGAACCCGACTCAGAGCCAATGCAACAGTGACAGTAGCCTGGAGGGGACCTCGCCCAACTCATCAGGACCAATCAGAAGATCAGAACTACTAGATTCAACCTACTTCATTTATTGCATAAAATGTCTGCACACAATGTTTCGGGGCTCTCTTCAGATAATAATAATAATAATAATAAAATGCCATTTAGCAGACGCTTTTATCCAAAGCGACTTACAGTCATGCGTGCATACATTTTTGTGTATGGGTGGTCCCGGGGATCGAACCCACTACCTTGGCGTTACAAGCGCCATGCTCTACCAGCTGAGCTACAGAAAGTGGATACTCATGGATGCGCATCGCAATTGTAAAATGTCAACACAATTGGAGACACCACGTCATTTTTGGAGACATGTTATTGACAGTAAACTATTGTAGATGCGACTGCTAACTAAATAAAACATTTTAGCTGGCTAGCTAATCATCTTAGCTAAATGTGGGGCAAACAATTCAGTTATTTACCGTTAATTTGAGGGATTGGGGTGAAAGAAATCGAGTTACATAGTGATACTTTACGATATACTGTATTGACAATATCGCAATATTTTAGCGCTAGTTGGCTGTACCTGCACCAAAACACCATTATTGTTCCTTCATAGCTTGTTCTCAATCTTTTCACATTGGGAGCCAATTTGTTTTCAGCACTTTTATTTCCATGACTGATCAAAACTCATTCTCATGGCTTTCTGATCCCTCTGCAACAGACATATGGTGCACAATAAAATCACAGTATCGAATCGCAATACGTATAGAATCATGAGACTCGCAATGCTGATGCATATATCTTATCGTGAGGTTCCTGGCAATTCCCAGCCCAAGTTCATTTGCCACAACAAATCTCTTCGCTAGCAAACGCGATGTCTTCTCCAAAACGACAATGTGTCTCCAGCAATGTTTACTTTTTTGACGTTCTATGGCATCTCCACTTTCCAAGCATATATGACCACATGTAATATTTTGGTAAGCGATGCAAATAGTGAACTATGTAGGGCCAGGATGTAAAATATATGTAGCTGCAGCAATTTCTCTTATCTGATATGGTAAGTAATGGGGCTTAATTTATAGCTCCCTAAGAGTTTGACGAACGGGTCCGTGCACGCGATTCCAGATATCTTTACCTCTGAATAAACTGCCTTTATTATACCATATCCACCCTGTCCAAAGTCTCTACTTGGTCTCAGTTCTCCAGTAAACTTGTGATTATCAACACTAACCTCATCGTTGTGGCGGCGGACAGCTAGCCTGTATCCCTCATCAAGTTGAGTGGCAATGTTATTTTTCCGTTCGTACCAATTTTTGGAAAATCCTCGGGTGTAGGACTTTCCGCCTTTAGTAGAAACCTGTTGAATTATTAAATTTGGTCTGGGAGGTCCTAATTGTTTCGTTGCCAATTTATCTTCATTTGTTCGCCGACAAAAAGGAACTTCTTTCAAAGACACAATCCGCTCTTTTCTCAGTTACGTTCATGGTTACGTTACGTTACGTATGACGAAAGCGCGTAAGTGCAAGCCCTCAGACACCCATAGAGATTGTATTGAAGGCTCTGAAATTTGAAAAAAATAGATTTTACATTAGAGGCTATGAGAGACTTCTGGGCGATTTTCAACCTGACTGAAATCGCCCCAAAAGGGGGGGGAGCCATTTGAAGCACGACTTTAGCCTGATTCGACATTTAGTGGCAGTGTGGCACTGTGGCAGATCAGACGTATAGATTACAACACTGATAACTACTGTTGCCGTGATATAATTGATTAGAAAAAAAATCCCTTCCTTTTCCCGTTTGGCAGTGCGTCGCCCATATCGCCCTATTGAACAGGCCGCCCCTGGTTATATTTCATCAGACCAGAGGACATTTCTCCAAAAAGTACGATCTGTGTCCCCATGTGCAGTTGCAAACCGTAGTCTTGCTTTTTTATGGCGGTTTTGGAGCAGTAGCTTCTTCCTTGCTGAGCGGCCTTTCAGGTTATGTCGATATAGGACTCGTTTTACTATGGATATAGATACTTTTGTACCTGTTTCCTCCAGCATCTTCACAAGGTCCTTTGCTGTTGTTCTGGGATTGATTTGCTCTTTTCGCACCAAAGTACATTCATCTCTAGGAGACAGAACGTGTCTCCTTCCTGAGCGGTATGACGGCTGCGTGGTCCCATGGTGTTTATACTTGCGTACTATTGTTTGTACAGATGAACTTGGTACCTTCAAGCATTTGAAATTGCTCCCAAGGATGAACCAGACTAGTGGAGGTCTATATTGTTTTTCTGAGGTCTTGGCTGATTTCTTTTGATTTTCCCATGATGTCAAGCAAAGAGGTACTGCGTTTGAAGGTAGGCCTTGAAATACATCCACAGGTACACCTTCAATTGACTCAAATGATGTCAATTAGCCTATCAGAAGCTTCTAAAGCCATGACATCATTTTCTGGAATTTTCCAAGCTGTTTAAAGGCACAGTCAACTTAGTGTATGTAAACTTCTGGAATTGTGATACAGTGAATTATAAGTGAAATAATCTGTCTGTAAACAATTGTTGGAAAAATTACTTGTGTCATGCACAAAGTAGATGTCCTCACCAACTTGCCAAAACTATAGTTTGTTAACAAGAAATGTGTGGAGTGGTTGAAAAACAAGTTTGAATGACTCCAACCAAAGTGTATGTAAACTTCTGACTTCAACTGTACGTTCCTCTCAAGTTCTTGGCCCTTTCCAGAGCAGCTACCTTGTCCTTGAACCTCAAGAACTTGACCACTATCGGCCTGAGCCTGTCACCTGGGCCGGTGATGGGTTTTACAGTTCTGTGGGCACGCTCCACCTCAATCTTCCTGTGGTCCATCTTCAATTTCGCCAATACCATTCCCCACACTTTGTCCTCAGACTCCATCCAGGTCTCGTGGAGATTCTGCAATTCCATCCACAACCATGTGGTTCCGCCTTGATTGCTCGAGATAATCTGATTTCTCCGTCATTGTTATCATGGATTCACACACAGAACTGATGTCCTCTCTCAATGACTTACAGATTGCTGTCATCTTGCCGTTCTCCTGTTTCAACTCATCGAGCTGACCCTGGGAGAACTGCAAACTGTTCTTCAGGTCCTGGACCTCTCTGATCAGGTCGTCCATTCTTTTATTAGTTGACGCCACCAATATTTGGACAAAGACACTTGAAGCTATTTTCTTGTTGTTGTAACAACTGCTTGTAGAACTACACCCGCCGGCTTTGGTCTTTGTCATGGTAGCTAGCAACGTAGGTTACGCTGTTACTTCTCGCAGTTCCAGACAGGGCAGGTCACAGGGAAGATTGAAAACAACAACAAACAGAAGAGATCTAGACAGCCACAAACCTGGGACAATCCGCGGTCCCAGCCACAATGGCTAACCGTGTCGCGGGCTGCGTTCAAGCCCTCAAGAAAACCCTGCTAGCTTGATAGGCAGCTAGCTAACAGCTAGGCTAGCTGCTACGCCAAATAACTTCTCAGACCCGGCCTTGGTCGGCAGGATCACTGAACAGAGAGTAGCAGTCCCAGCAACTGATGCCAACTGCATTGCGGGATCCAAATGTAAAAGTTAGCAAGCTAATAAGAAACTTTTCAATACACTTTCAAAACAACAAACTTTCCAAAACAACAAACCGAGCTCTCCCTGATTTTGCGTTCAACAGGAATTCGATTCACTCTATTTACATGTAGTCCAGGGTTTCCCAAACTCAGTCCTCAGGACCCCAAGGAGTGCATGTTTTGGTTTTTGCCCTAGCACTACACAGCATATTGAAATATTACACTAATCATCAAGGTTTGATCATTTTTATCAGCTGTGTTGTGTTAGAGCAAAAACCAAAACGTGCACTCCTTGGGGTCCTGAGGACCGAGTTTGGGAAATGCTGATGTAGTCTATTTAAGTTGACCAGTTCTACACATGCTTCCTCAATGCCTGATATCATGTGCACGCATGTGCTGGTGTCTCTTGCTGCCATTGCGTTGCTGCTCTAACTAGGTGTTACTCACTATGCTTGCTGTTTTCTGATATCCCACCACCCCAGCTTCCACCTGTCTGGGTTCTGTGTTTCTTCCTTCAGGGGATTTGGTATAGAATATCGTGCTCACTGCCTGTAGTTATTTTATCATCTTTATATGACGCTTCGCTCTGGCAGTGAGCTACCCTAAAAGAGCAGAGCCCTAACGCCAAAACAATGCATTGTAACATTTATAATAAATGGTTAAAGGTACACTTGGTGTTTCCTTTCTGAACCTTAGTTGTCAAAAAATGTGAATATGCTGATGGTAAATGGTGTCTCATAAAGAAAGTACGCATATTTTCCCCGTTCTTTTCTCCTTCTTGCCATTAAAGCTAGTTAAGGAGGGAAATAATGAGGATGCTTTATGTACGAGCCGGTCCACGGGGACACAGGTGTATTACTGGGAATGCACATCAAGCCTAGACAATAGTGCAGATCTAGCGCCCATGCACTATCGGCTGCCTAGGCTACCTTTAACAGACAAATAAGAAATAGAGTTCCAAACCTCTCTGCCAATAACAGCTAGTTTTCAGTTTTCCCCTCCCCACTCAGTCCACTCCCAGATAGTCCTAGCAAAATTAATGCTTGAGAAATTGCTCTTTGCTAAGAAGCTAGTTTTGTTTATTTTTGACCATTTTAATTGAAAACAATCACAGTAAGGTACTTAATTGTTACCAAGAAATGATTTGAAATTGAGATAAAAACGGCTGCATTGGACCTTTAATTCATCAAACGTCATGGATTTGGGACACTCCCTCTCCTTTGGGACTGCTGTCTCGAGCAGCCCTCCGCTTGTGCTCTGGCAGCCTGAGCCTACTTAAAATCATTTGGTGAGGAAAGAAGCAAGAGGGATCTGCTGGCTTGGACGTTGGCCTTATGGTTAAATCCAAACGCAAGACGATATTAAATAGCCACTGTTTTGTAAGAGAAAAAGAGAAAACCATTTCTACAATGCCAGTTATCGAACTGCTGCCCAGTAATAACACAGAAAGTGAAAGGTGAGTTAATTTATAGCTAGCTAACCCCAGAAGGGCTATGCTAATTAGTTAGCCACAGAGGCCTACGCAGCTAACGTTAGCATAGCTTGCTAACTTGTTTACTATTTTTTACAGGGGTTATTAGCTATGTATCTAACAAGTCCGTGGAACAATATTGTGCTAAACTGACTTTCGTTATTTTTCTCAAAGTTGACTAAGTATATTTAGTTTTAATCGAAGTCTGTATAATTTTGGTTATTACAGTTGGCTGCGGTTTATATCGCATTCTGCGGATGTTTTTGGCTAAGGTAACTAACTAGCTAGCCTGTTTACACTAGCTCGCCAATTTACTAGCTAATGCTAGCTAGCCAGATCTCTGCCTAGTTAACTAGCTTTGTCAAAGTACTGTTTACTTGCTTCATGTGTGACAGATTAAGAAACCAATTAACTACTGCAATATGTTTCTCAATAATGATGGAATAAATGGACTGACACATTTTATTTCGTCGAATGTTCTAGGAGACGTTAGTTATTAACTACTTAGTCAGCTGTTTACATTTCAAATGAGGGAGGTGTTAAAAAATGGAATTATTAATTAATTTACCTGGGGAAAAAAGCAGAGAACCATTCACACAGACAAGATACATGTATTTTGGTCACAGGGTCTGAAAATACCAGTGGTGTATAGTACTTTTTTGGGTTATCTTGTACCTTACTTGACTGATTATATTTTTGACCACTTACTAAACTACATTTCTCTGACACCCCAAAGTACTAGTTACATTTTGAAAGCAGGACAGGAAAATTGTCCAATTCACCCACTTATCAAGAGGTCATCCCTATTGCCTCTGATCTGGCGGACTCACTAATGACAGATTTTTGTCTGTATATGAAAAGGATACTAGGTACTAGCCATTGCAGCAAATATTTTACTTTCAACACTTAAACACTTGTTAGCTGCTCACCTGCAGGTATCGAGATCATATCTGTTCACTCAATGTGATTTATTAACCAATATTTGTTTTGCCAATTAAAAGCCTTGATGGCTTGACTGACTGTTATCCTAGTTTAAGAAGAACATGAGTGACAGCTAGTGTGCCTAAAAACCAAACTACAGGATATGTACAGTCTCTAAAAGTAGGTAATTTAGTTAAAAACAACCTAGCTAGAGGGACAGAAGTGTACATGTTGAGGCTTACTTATATTTTGACATAACCTTATCATAATTCCCATCCCTTCTCCTCTGTGGGAATTACACTGCTCAAAAAAATAAAGGGAACACTTAAACAACACAATGTAACTCCAAGTCAATCACACTTCTGTGAAATCAAACTGTCCACTTAGGAAGCAACACTGATTGACAATAAATGTCACATGCTGTTGTGCAAATGGAATAGACAACAGGTGGAACTTATAGGCAATTAGCAAGACACCCCCAATAAAGAAGTGGTTCTTCAGGTGGTGACTACAGACCACTTCTCAGTTCCTATGCTTCCTGGTTGATGTTTTGGTCACGTTTGAATGCTGGTGGTGCTTTCACTCTAGTGGTAGCATGAGACAGAGTCTACAACCCACACAAGTGGCTCAGGTAGTGCAGCTCATCCAGGATGGCACATCAATGCGAGCTGTGGCAAGAAGGTATGCTGTGTCTGTCAGCATAGTGTCCAGAGCATGGAGGCGCTACCAGGAGACAGGCCAGTACATTAGGAGACGTGGAGGAGGCCGTAGGAGGGCAACAACCCAGCAGCATGACCGCTACATCCACCTTTGTGCAAGGAGGAGCAGGAGGAGCACTGCCAGAGCCCTGCAAAATGACCTCCAGCAGGCCACAAATGTGCATGTGTCTGCTCAAACGGTCAGAAACAGACTCCATGAGGGTGGTATGAGGGCCCGACGTCCACAGGTGGGGGTTGTGCTTACAGCCCAACACCGTGCAGGACGTTTGGCATTTGCCAGAGAACACCAAGATTGGCAAATTCGCCACTGGCGCCCTGTGTTCTTCACAGATGAAAGCAGGTTCACACTGAGCACGTGACAGACGTGACAGAGTCTGGAGACGCCGTGGAGAACGTTCTGCTGCCTGCAACATCCTCCAGCATGACCGGTTTGGTGGTGGGTCAGTCATGGTGTGGGGTGGCATTTCTTTGGGGGGGCCACACAGCCCTCCATGTGCTCGCCAGAGGTAGCCTGACTGCCATTAGGTACCGAGATGAGATCCTCAGACCCCTTGTGAGACCATATGCTGGTGCGGTTGGCCCTGGGTTCCTCCTAATGCAAGACAATTCTAGACCTCATGTGGCTGGAGTGTGTCAGCAGTTCCTGCAAGAGGAAGGCATTGATGCTATGGACTGGCTCGCCCATTCCCCAGACCTGAATCCAATTGAGCACATCTGGGACATCATGTCTCGCTCGGATCCACCAACGCCACGTTGCACCACAGACTGTCCAGGAGTTGGCGGATGCTTTAGTCCAGGTCTGGGAGGAGATCCCTAAGGAGACCATCCGCCACCTCATCAGGAGCATGCCCAGGCGTTGTAGGGAGGTCATACAGGCACGTGGAGGCCACACACACTACTGAGCATCATTTTGACTTGTTTTAAGGACATTACATCAAAGTTGGATCAGCCTGTAGTGTGGTTTTCCACTTTAATTTTGAGGGTGACTCCAAATCCAGACCTCCATGGGTTGATACATTTGATTTCCATTGATAATTTTTGTGTGATTGTGTTGTCAGCACATTCAACTATGTAAAGAAAAAAGTATTTAATAAGATTATTTCATTCAGATCTAGGATGTGTTGTTTAAGTGTTCCCTTTATTTTTTTGAGCAGTGTAAAATGAAGTGTAGACCAATAAAGCCTAGACGACACTAAAAAACTTCCCCTAACACAAGTAGACTCACCATGGAGTCTCTTTCATTGATTATTCTCAATGGTTGCAAATCATCTTGAATACAACTATTCTTGTGTAGTAAGGTTATAGTATTCTATCAGAAGGGACACAGACGCAGCACTATTTGCACATTTTTTATTGGTCAAGTCTGTGCCCAATGCTGTGTTATTTATGGTCTGTTATGTTGGTGGGGCATTGAGGAGCAGTCTGTTTACTAGAGGAAGAGGCCCCACCATTTAAGTGCTTTGAGGAGAGGTTAGGTGTCCATAAATGCCTCAAAATGATTCCCCTTTGGCCTAATATCTAGTGTATTGTTCTGCGAGACAGTATTTTTCCACATCAGATTCATTCAACTGTTAAAGGCTGTTACGCAAGTGGTGGAGACTCATCTCCCACCTGACTAAGCCAGCTGTCACAAGTTAAGCCTCTTCATGAATATTGCCTACTGTGTAGCAGAGTGTATGGGGATTTTAAGGAGTATTGTGAATGGCGTAGAATAGCAGTGCCGTTGAATCTGCAGGAACAACATGCAGGTGGAATGCAAACGGACAGGGATTTGACATAAGGATGCTAGTTGGATATTATTTGCAATCTGATCATGCAGTTTCCAAAGGAACCTTATTCACTAGAACCACTTATTAGGGATTCCAGTCAATATGCCGCACAAATTATAAGTGATGAGGCTAGGAGGTATATCACTGTTACTCTGAGGTTGAGCTCCAAGGTTGACACAATGCTTCTTACTTTGCTTTCACATGTCTGCTCCACATATAAAGCTGGAGTGGTGTTTGCGTAAGAGAGCGTCCGTGAGCAGTAACGTCACCCCTAATGGGGGTTATTCACTTTTTGAGCTTTGAGAATAGGCATACTCTGCTCTGCTAGCGCAACCCCCACACAAAAGCTTATTCTGAATCTAAACTAGAACACACACTCACGTTGTGGCTTAAGCAAAATGGCTGATCGGTAGAGTGGGTAATCCGGCACGTCTCAGTGATGTAAGAGGTTGGCGTTTTTGTCCTTAGTGCAGACTTGTATTAGGCCAAAAACGAGACACTATTTTTACCACCCTAATTTTTTGCCTGGTAGCTGAAAATGTTCTCAGTATTTTTCCATTGACATTGTTGCCAAATTTTTGCCCACAAGCAGCAGTCATCTCTCCCCCATAGGCTACTCCTACTGTGACAGTTCTCTCTGACTAATCAGTGTGACGTCAACTGTGAATCAATCACAAAGGGAGCAATCAACCTGTGTGAAAGCAGTCATTTTGTTTGTCATCACTCATTGGGACATCCTGTTACCCAATGCGCTTTGTTGCCAACAAAGGAAATAAAATGTCTCCTGCCTGTTACTTATTTTGCCTCGAGCAAAGTGTTCCATTCAGACGTGTAAAGATTTAGTCAGCGGAATAGTTTGAACTTCAACCCTTTGTTATTTGAATATATACCCTAACCAGGACAATGTTTTACCATATTAGTAATGTGAGTTACATGGACTGGAATGACGATACATTAACATCCAAAGGGACATTTTCCCTGGTCTCCAGTTAGGCCAGCTCATAGTCAGTGAATCCTTGAGTAATAATGGCTCCGTACTTCTGTGTCCTCCAGCACCTCCAGTCCGAGGCGGTGTTCCCACTGTTGCAGTAACCCGTGTCCGGGGCCTCTGTGGTGTTCCTGATGCCCCTCACCCACCCCTAAAGATCCCAGGTGGGCGAGGGGATGACCAGCGGGATCGCAATCTTTCAGCTAAGCTATTCTACTCTGTGAGTCCACTCTCTTATCTTTGTCCTTCACATCCTCTGGTGTTAAGCTACCTGTATCAAACCTCTTTTCAAACCTGCTAATTTATCCGTTCTCCTGCAGGATGCTCGGTTGCTGGTTCTTGAGGAGCCGCCCCCTGCCAATGGCAGAGTACGTTTCCTGCTCTTTGAGCCCCGTCGCTCAGAGGGCAAGCACTGTGTCTGGAGGGGGGCACTGAAAGGGGGGAACATCTACATCGAGATCCCCCCTGGAGTTCTGCCCGAGGGCAGCAAAGACAGGTCAGTGATCCAATGCAAGTACAACCTCTCGTTGTCCTTTAGTTCCACTTTAGACTGTTTTAAAGGCGCAATATGCAGAAATCACTCCACCATTGCCTGGTTGCTAAAATTCGAAATGTTTGTCAAATTTCAGGTGACAACTAGTGTGGAGATTCATTGTACCATCTAAACCGCTGTGAAATATATTTTCAATAACCAAAAATATAGTATATCCAGCTGTTTGAAGCTGGAGTACAAAACCAAAAGTAAGAAGATGCAAAGAAATGAAAATTTGGGATGGGGAAGCATAGAAATAGCACACATAGAATGGATCTATCGCTTATCAGACTTTCTTACAATGATAATGACAGATCTATAACTCACATTTCTATGTGAATTTGGTCAGGTCGCGCACAAAGATACATATTGCGCTTTCTACTAGTTTGACATTGTTGTTTCTATTGCTTGCTGACTGCAGTGCACTACCTTCATAACTCATTGACTTCATCTCTCCAGTTTTGCTCTCCTGCTGGAGTTTGCGGAAGAGAAGCTGCAGGTTGACCATGTCTTCATCTGCTTCCACAAGAACCGAGACGACAGAGGTAAGTCCCTATGTGTGTGTCTGCGTCTGCTTCCAGTCAACCCCTCTGTTAATGCTTTGTTATGAGGCAGTTCTCTCACTGTCCTTTTCTCTCTTTCTCTCTCCAGCATCTCTGCTGCGTACCTTCAGCTTCCTGGGCTTTGAGATTGTGAGACCAGGTCATCCACTCGTCCCTACCCGCCCCGATGCTTTCTTCATGGCTTACAGCATCGAACGAGGCTCCTTCGACGATGAATAATGGATCACACACATGCCACAAACACACATGTTAGCATTTACCTACCCTTCCCCATCCACTTAATCACTTAGGGAAAATAAATATCAAAACTCAATAAGGTTGAGGTTTCCTGTGAAATAGTTTGTTTATTTCCTTTGATGTGATGTATTACAACAACATTTTAACTAGTGTGTAATGTTAAACCAAGAATGTACCCTTATAAAATCTGGGAAATGTTTCCTCACCGCTGTATTAATTTCCATGTTTAGTGCTGATTTCCCCTTTCCCCATTCACCACAATGATCATCACTAGGATGTAATATTTATGGTGAAAATGTCCATGCTGCATATTCATGTAATTAGTTATGTTTCTTGACTATTTCAAGTTGATTTTCATGTTTTATATTGACTTTCTTTTAATGTGTGCATGAACTTTGATTTCTAGTTTTGATTCACTTAACTGAAATCTGCATGTTGTAACAAGTGCGCAAATAAAAGTGCTCACCTTAACAAGTGGATTTTGCCTTATGGTTTTGCGTGTCGGGATTGGGGAAAGGGCCTTGAAATATGTGTAAAGATTTATAAGAAGTTGCATTTTTGTGGGAACGCAGACCAGCGGGATATACCAGAGTTGTAGAAGCATCTGTTTAAAATTGATCAGCCGATGTTGAATTATACCTAATGTACTGTAAGTTGATATTTTATAATCATTACTGTGATCTAATGTGGCTCTTTGCATCCATGAAAGGTTAATGATAGAGCATAGTGCGTATACATTTGATCAATATCCTTGTTGGAAAGCGATGCTGTGGAAAAACATTTAATCAAAAAAAGCAAACCTTTTATGAATTCCAGATGTTCTAGATCAGGGGTGTCAAACGTGCGGGCCGGATCAGGCCCGCAAACGGGTTTAATCCGGCCCGTGAGATGATTTTGAAAAAAAATTAATAATAATAATAATTTTGTAAAGTATAAAAATGCGCTGCAATTTTTCAATAAAATAAACTGCTGTTCCAATTGCGTCCACTGGATGGCGCAATAGCAATTGTGTTAAGCAAGCAAACTGTTTATACCGGGGCAGAGCAAGTAGGTCAAGCACGTGCAGCCAATGAGCTACTTTGTTTTGCCCGCGATATTTATTACGGCTTCTACTTTTAACATTATGTGCTTTGGCACCCTCATTGCCCCAATATGTCTCTGTCAAAAAAGAGAAAAGTGGACGCAGAGTGCAGTGTTCCAAGAAAAATGGTCATCCTATTTATTCACGGAATTGAATGGGAAAGCTGTATGTTTGGTGTGTTCAGAGCATGTTGCAGTGCTGAAAGAATATAACCTTCGTCGCCACTATGTGAGTCTTCATGCCGACAAATATGACAACTTTCAAGGACAGCGGAGATGAGAGAAGGTGAATGAACTGTTGGCGGGTCTGAAGAAACAGCAGTCTGTGTTTACTCACAGCCGAGACATCAGTGACGCTGCAGTGAAAGCTAGCTACCTCATTGCTAATGAAATCGCAGTGGCTTCAAAACCATTTAGTGAGGGTGAATTTGTAAAAACATGCATGATGAAGGCAGCGGAGATTGTGTGCCCTGAAAAGCGGCAGGCTTTTGCAAATATCAGCCTGACAAGAAACACAGTTGCAGACAGGATTTCCGATCTTTCAGTGGATTTGGACAGCCAGTTGAAGCAAAAAGTAAAGTCATTTATTGCGTTCGGTTGCAATTGATGAAAGCACGGACATTACAGATGTTGCACAACTGGCCATTTTCATCCGCGGAGTTGATGACACATTGACCGTCACCGAGGAGTTCGTGGAGTTGGTGCCGATGACAGATACAACGACAGCAGCTGATATTTTTACTGCACTCGTCTGCGCGCTGGACAGGGTCGGAGTGGACTGGTCCCGCGCTGTCAGCCTGGCTACAGATGGTGCGCCCTCAATGATCGGGAAAAAAGCAGGCGTTGTGACAAAGTTCAGAGAGAAAGTGCAATCTGCAAATGGAGGATGTGATTTTTTGACTTTTCACTGTATTTTGCACCAGGAGGCTTTGTGTTGCAAGTCATTAAAGATGGATAACGTCATGAAGGTGGTCATCCAAACTGTTAATTTCATCCGATCCAGAAGCCTGAATCACCGTCAGTTTGACAGCCTTCTCAGAGAGAAAGACCACATCTATGGCCTGCCATACCACACTGAGGTAAGATGGTTAAGCCGAGGTGCTGTGCTGAGGCGTTTCTTTGATTTACGAGAAGAAATTGAACAGTTCATGGAAGAAAAGGGCAAACCAGTGTTAGAATTTCATTCCGCAGAATGGATGCAGGACCTTGCATTTATGGTGGATGTTACAGAGCACCTGAATAACTTGAACAAACAGCTGCAAGGGCGTAACAAAGTTGTCACGCAGTATTATGACAGCATACGTTCTTTCAAGTTGAAGCTGTCATTGTGGGAGACGCAACTTGCCGGTGGTGATGCAGCTCACTTCCCCTGTCTGAAAAATGTGTGCGCGACCCAACATGTGGCAGACATGAAGCGGTTCAAAGATAAAATAACGGGACTGTTACGGAAGTTTGAGCAACGCTTTCAGATTTATGTTTATATGTTTTTATGTTGATGTGCTATTGTTTTTCATTGATTTTATTTTATTTGTATATTTAACCTATTCTTGACTCTGTGGTTCTTGCACTTGTTTGGGGAACAGGATTTCATTATTTTTATCTACATTTCTGCCTGAGAAATGACACCCTGATATAGTTCTGTGATATACTTCTGTGAATCACTGAGGCATTGTGTGTTTGTGTGTTCTTTGTCCTCAGAACTTTCAAATAACTTGAGGTGTTTTATGATTAATAGTGATGTTGTGCTTTTGGACACTGTCCTCAGGCTCCAGCTTTATGTTTATATGTTTTTATGTTGATGTGCTATTGTTTTTAATTGATTTTATTTTATTTGTATATTTAACCTATTCTTGACTCTGTGGTTCTTGCACTTGTTTGGGGAACAGGATTTCATTATTTTTATCTACATTTCTGCCTGAGAAATGACACCCTGATATAGTTCTGTGATATACTTCTGTGAATCACTGAGGCATTGTGTGTTTGTGTGTTCTTTGTCCTCAGAACTTTCAAATAACTTGAGGTGTTTTATGATTAATAGTGATGTTGTGCTTTTGGACACTGTCCTCAGGCTCCAGCTTTATGTTTATATGTTTTTATGTTGATGTGCTATTGTTTTTAATTGTTTTTATTTTATTTGTATATTTAACCTATTCTTGACTCTGTGGTTCTTGCACTTGTTTGGGGAACAGGATTTCATTATTTTTATCTACATTTCTGCCTGAGAAATGACACCCTGATATAGTTCTGTGATCTGTGAAACAGTTCTGTTAATCACTGAGGCATTGTGTGTTTGTGTGTTCTTTTTCTTTAGAATTTTCAAATAAACTTGACGTGTTTTATGATTAATAGTGATGTTGTGCTTGTACTATTTTGGACACACTGTCCTCAGGCTCCAGCTTTATGTTGTATGTTGATCGTATTAAAACAAAGAAAACAATCTGAAGTTGTTGTTTTTAAGTTATATATACCATGATTTTTCCGGTCCGGCCCACTTGGGAATAGATTTTCCTCCATGTGGCCCCTGAGCTAAAATGAGTTTGACACCCCTGTTCTAGATAGATTCTGTCAACAAAGTTTAATATCTTCCACATTGTACATTCGATTAGAGCAGGGTTTCCCGAACTCTGTCCTGGGGCCCCACCTGGGTGCACGTTTAGTTTTTTGCCCTAGCACCACATCTGATTCAAATAATCAAAGCTTGATGAGTTATTTTTATCAGCTGTGTGGTGCTAGGGCAAAAAACAAAACGTGCAACTGGGGGGGGGGGGGGGGGAGTGGACTTCAATGAACAGATATGAAACAGACACGAGTAATCACAACTTCCAGTCCACTGTGTTGTGGAGGCCTAGTAGTGCCGTGGTCCTCATCACTGTCTCAGAGTCAGTGAAGGACAGGTACTGTAGACACAGGCAGTGCTCCCAGTCCAGACTGGGCAGGTCCTGGATCAGCCCTCTCTCTGCCAGCTTCAGCAACATGAGGGCCTGCTTGACTGACAGCCAGTTGTGCAGAGTGGAAGGCACAGTGGGATTTACCCTGAAGAGCTCAGCACGTGGACCCCAGAGCAGAGCCTGCAGGACCCCCACTACGTCTGCTATCTGTAGCCCACTACCCCCATCCTGAAGCCAGGAGGCTAGCTGGAGAAGCCCTGGTAGATATGGGGAGCTCTGGATAACGCCATCTGAACTCTTTGTATGTTGAGAGGAAGCATTGTCAGGGAGGTACAGGCAGTACTTTAGCAACGCTCCGAACTGAGACTGTATGGATGGAGCAGCATGAGCAGGTTGAAAGAGACTGGGGTCACTGTGACTGGGGTGATTGGTCAATGCCACACGAGGGGTTCCACACTTTCTCCATAGCTCCTGAATCTCTCCCTTTATCTTTTCCTTTTCATTCTCCAATAACTCAATTTCTTCACTTCTTCCACTTTCTTCTGCTTTGTCTGCCTCTGTTCCCCCCCCCCTCTCCATCGGCCATACCAGTAAGATGCCTTGAGCCTTCAGCACAGGACAGGTGGCTGCATTACTGCACAGGTGTTGTAACCCAAAGGCTAACTGTAGCAGCAGAATACTCAGTCGCCTCTCATACACAAGTGGTTTAAAGCTCTGCATGAACCTTCCCTCTTGTACAAAGTCTTCCAAAGTAGCCTGTGGTAAGTCTCTCTCAATAGTCACTGCATATCCCTTGAGCAATAGTGAAACAACTGTAGGCCCACTGCTCTCCCCAGACTCCGCTTGACTTTTATCTGCCTCAATTCTGCTCCCATCTGGTGATTCTGTCATTGTTTGATCAGACTGTGAGGAGTCTGAAGTGATTGTGTTTTTGGTTCCAAGTTCTTTCTCTTGTGCTGGGCATGATGGGAAAGATGCAATGACCTGCTGGATGTTGACATTGGGCGGCACTGAGGTAGGTTGAGACAAGGGGCCAAGTTCAATGTTTACCTGGGAATAAAACCAGGGAGGAAATTAGAACATCCAAAAACCTTTCCTTTCCTAAACAAGGCTTAGTCACATTTAAAGTTAAGGCTATAAAGCCTTTCTAAGCCATGGATGTTTGCTGTTATCTTTGCAGTCTGTTGGGTTGCTCAACACCTTTTGGCAGTTCAGAGGAAATGTGTGTCACTGGAGTTGGGGGTTGCCAAACTTGCCATATAAGGGTGCAGAACACGACTGTTGCTTGAGGTAGAGCATAGAAATGTGCCCTCTTATCTTTTACTTTTGGCCTTATCGTGGCTTTTCGCATTTGGTGCAGCTGTGTTTGTATTCTGCTTGACTTTTGCATTGTGCACATAACTCAAGTATGAATACTGCTTGAGCATGATGCACAAACTGGTTTACACATAGATTAGGCAGGGCTGGCCCTTGCCTTTTGGGGGTAGGGGTAAAACATTTAAGTGGCCCCCCCTCTTGATGGCAGAGATTTTTTTATTGTTAATTTCCTGCAATTCTATACATTTTGCCATGGGGTGGAGAGAAGATTTTACAATTTTCTAACTCATTTCATGCAATTCTAACAATTTTGCCATGGGGCGGAGAGCAAAATTAGCAGTTTTACAGCTAACTTCCTGCAATTCTACAAATTTTACCATAGGGTGTAGAGATATGTGAGCAGTTTAAAAATGAAATTCCTGCACATTTTGCCATGGCTTATGATATCTGAGTGAGAGTGACTAACAAAATTAATCGGGGCCCCCTGGAGGTCAGGGTCCCTGGGCACATGTCCTGTCGGTAATTCAACCATGATTACTAGCTACAAGTTTAGATAGCTGGCTAGACTAGCTTACAATCTATTGAACAACCAAATTGCGAAATTGCACGTTGTGTATTCTACTATTCTAACTCTCAACAGAGTTCCTAAAAACATTTAAAATAATTTGGGTCGAGGGCCCCCTATGTCGCTAATACCCTGAGAATAGGCCATATATTATGAGCATAACCTTACCTTAGCTGCGAGCATCCTCCCTGGAAACTTTGGGCTATGCAGGCGGTAGTACAGTGAACCTGCTATCTGCTTGGACTGGTAGTTTTCACACAGCAGAAAATCTTGGGGCTGAAATGCACCAATGCCTTCACTGGACTCTCTCATCAGGAGAACCCCAGCCTCCATGCGCTGTGCCACACTCCTCAGGAATAGTAGGTGGCGATGCTGAATGCCTTGAGAAATGTCCCCCTGGTTGTAGAAACTGCTGAAGAAGTAGGTAAGCTGTTCGTCAGGTGTATCGAAGTCCAGTTGAGATAGGGGCTGCAAGTGGAGAGGGCTTTTCTGGACTTGTCTTTCTTCGTTTCTCTCTACATGGGGCTGAGTGCCTGTGATGGGGACCAACATGTAGAGAGGGTTGTCATAGTTTTGGTGACTGCAGGGTAGTGGGGAAAGGGGACACAGATAGGCCCCTGGTAGGGACAGGGTCCGAGCCAGCCTCTTCTTGGGCACTGGTGGTGGGGTGGTGCTATCTGAGAAAAACCTCTCTTGATGACAGTAAGAGGGGTCTAAAAAATAAAGGGAAATACAAAACATGTAATAAACTTTCCAGAGAAGTCGTTGCCTAGTTCCACGCTTTGACTCTATGATTATCGAGAACTTCTTCCGAATAAGGAAGAGAAATTACAGAAGAGTAATACTGAACTCCACAAAAAAGAACATTTCAGCCGATGTTTGTCTCAAACTGTTGTTGGATGTGTAGACAGGAGCTACTGTATTTAGTTGAGCTTGTGACAGACGTGGACACGTAAATGTTGTGGCTATGGCGGTTTCTATCAGCACAGACCTGGTTTCAGGTGTCACTTCCTCGCATTCATTTCACATGAGAAAAAGGAAGCAAGGCAAGGAAGGAAAATGAGAGACTAAAATACAAGTGCCTTCTATTTTTATTTTATTTTTTACTTCAGGTGGGAAAAAGCAAATGTCTAAAGAACTTATATTTAATCTTTGAAATCAACTGGATAATATAATACTACAGTGTCTGATAAAGTTAGATGTGTGTTGTACTCACCATAGCGCTGGTGTATGGGACACTTTAGTGCATGGCAATCAGTGGCTGCAGAGAACACATCTGTGCAGGTAGAGCCCTGGTGCTGATGGGGTCCCAATGGGCTAGAGACACTCCCATCCAACTCCAGGTCCACACTGGAACCCACACTAGAGCCTCGCGAGTAGAGACTTCTGAGCACACGCGCACACACGCACGCACACACACAGACATACACACACACAGACATACACACACACACACACACACACACACACACACACACACACACACACACACACACACACACACACACACACACAATCATATTCATTAATTGATCTGCTGTCCTTTGACCTAATTACCTAAAATAAGTGCATACAGTACAGAAGCTGCATAGCACTCAGATAGACTCTATGCAGTCTTGATAGTTTTGTGATAAAGCTCACATTTAAAGGTTCAGAGAAACTGTCAAGACACTGCATAGAGTCTATGTAAGTGCTATGCAACTTCTGTACTGTATGTTTTTGCCTCACCTGCGCTGTTTGATAGGCAACACTGGGGGTCCACTCTGTCTCTCTGCTCCATGAGTTAGATCCATTGCTGCACAATCCATTGCCTGGTTACAGTGTCTCTCACTCAGAATAGCAGTCTGTCAAACTCTAATGGAACTTTAGGTCTCCAATATTATTGCTCAGGTTCACATTTATAATCTCTCTCCCTCTCCCTCACTCGCTCTCTCTCTTACTGTCTGTCTGTCTCTCTCTCTCTCTCCTTCTCTCTTTCTTATGAGAATGTAATTATCTGCTGTTCTGATCTTTACAGTCTGAGGTAGGTACCGGAAAAGTAGTGTCTGTGTGAGGGTATATCAGTACTTATGCAGTAACCTCAACTACAAAATGAGGAAGAACACCAAAAAGACACCCAACTTCACGCACTCTTTTTTTCTCTCACTTTCCTTTTAAGTTAGATCCATCACACACTTGGTCTCTGCCTCCCTGGTACTTTGTCTGTTATGGATCTCAAATCACATTTTTATTATTTAATGTGCTAGCCCCCAATTGCTTTGTGATGCATCTTCTTGGTCAAACACGTGTGAATGCATGTTGTAGAGTAGTTTTTTTAACCCCCGGGAGGCAGCTCATAGTAAAAACAATGGACACGGGACAGTAAATACACACAAAAACAAAAAACAAGTATATACTGTGCTTCCATAAAATGTAAAGGTTATTATTGTCTTTGCATAATGAAGTTTATGTTTTGTCAACCCTACAACTGTCTTATTGTAATTACACTGATATTCAACGTGTGTGTTCATTATCATGAGACACTTAATGCATAATGTTTATGAGTGAGTGATCCTCTGCGTAGGTCTGTGGTAGAGGCTCATACGCACAAGGCCACTATGCGTGGTTGTGCAGCCCAGAGTGTATGCTTGAGGCTGAGTGAGCAGCCCTGAAGTAGCGCTCTCTGATGAATACAATGAGTGAGACACAGGCTCATGGCAGAGACCCATTGTTTCATATAATTATTTTCCATTTATCAGCTTTGTCATCGTGATCACTCTAATTTTGTGGGTGCTTTTAGGTCTATTAATAATTCAATTTGACAAACATCAGTACAGTCCATCTAGGGTTGCAGAGATTCTTTGATTTATCATGGAGAGCATAACTGAAGCAATCTGGCTTTACTTTTATAAAAAAATGATGTAACCTTTATTTAACTAGGCAAGTCAGTTAAGAACAAATTATTATTTACAATGACGGCCTACCAAGAGGCAAAAGGCCTCCTGCGGGGACGGGGGCTGGGATAAAAATAAAAAAAAGTAGGACAAAACACACATCATGACAAGAGAGACACCACAACACTACATAAAGAGAGACCTAAGACAACAACACAGCATGGCAGCAACAAATGACAACACAGCATGGTAGCAATACAACATGACAACAACACAGTAGCGACACAACATGGCAGCAGCACAACATGGTAGCTGCACAAAAACGGTACAAACATTATTGGGCACAGACAACAGCACAAAGGGAAAAAGTTAGAGACAACAATACATCACGCGAAGCAGCCACAAGGGTCAGTAAAAGTTTCCATGATTGAGTCTTTGAATGTAGACATGGAGATAAAACTGTCCAGTTTTAGTGTTTTTTGCAGCTCGTTCCAGTCGCTAGCTGCAGCGAACTGAAAAGAGGAGCGACCCAGGGATGTGTGCTTTGGGGACCTTTAACAGAATGTGACTGGCAGAACGGTTGTTGTATGTGGAGGATGCACATACAACAGTAGGTATCTCAGATAGTGGGGAGTGAGGCCTAAGAGGGTTTTATAAATAAGCATCAACCAGTGGGTCTTGCATCAGGTATACAGAGATGACCAGTTTACAGAGGAGTATAGAGCATAGTGATGTGTCCTATAAGGAGCATTGGTGGCATATCTGATGCCGGAATGGTAAAGAACATCTAGCCGCTTGAGAGCACCCTTACCTGCCGATCTATAAATTAAGTCTCTGTAATCTAGTATTGGTAGGATGGTCATCTGAATCAGGGTTCGTTTGGCAGCTGGAGTGAAAGAGGAGTGATTATGATAGAGGCAATCAAGTCTAGATTCAACCTTAGCCTGCAGCCTGGATATGTGCTGAGAGAAGGACGGTGTACCGTCTAGCCATACTTCCAAGTACTTGTATGAGTTGACTACCTCATGCTCTAAACCCTCAGAGGTAGTAATCACACCGGTGGAGAGAGGGGCATTCTTCTTACCGAACCACATTACCTTTGTATTGGAGGTGTTCAGAACAAGGTTAAGGGCAGAGAAAGCTTGTTGAACACCAAGAAAGTTTTGTTGTAGAGGGTTTAACACAAAATCCGGGGAGGGGCTAGCTGAGTATAAGACTGTATCGACTGTATCATCTGCATATAAATGGATGAAAGAGCGTCCTACTGCCTGAGCTATGTTGTAAATTGAGAAGAGTGTGGGGCCTAGGATTGAGCCTTGGGGTACTCCCTTGGTGACAGGCAGTGGCTGAGACAGCAGATGTTCTGACTTTATACACTGCACTCTTTAAGAGAGGTAGTTAGCAAACCAGGCCAAAGACCCCTCAGAGACACCAATACTCCTTAGCCGAACCCACAAGAATGGAATGGTCTACCGTATCAAAAGCTTTAGCCAAGTCAATAAAAATAGTAGCACAACATTGCTTAGAATCAAGGGCAATGGTGACATCATTTAGGACCTTTAAGGTTGCAGTGACACATCCATAACCTGTGCGGAAACCAGATTGCATACCAGAGAGAATACTGTAGACATCAAGAAAGCCAGTCAGTTGATTATTGACAACTCTTTTGATAAACAGGGCAAGATAGAAATAAATTGGCCTATAACAGTTAGGATCAGCTTGAGTTCCCACTTTAAATAACGGACACACCGTGGCTGCCTTCCAAGCACTGGGAACCTCCCCAGAGATGAGAGACAGGTTAAAAAGGTGAGAGATAGGCTCAGCGATTGTCACAGTACTCCCTCTACCCCGCTCCAGCGCTCGACGTCGCCGTTCTACTAACCGCCGGTCCTGGCAACCATCATTACGCACACCTGTTCCCCATTGTTACGTACACCTGGACCTCATCATCACCTTGATTACTCTCTCTTTATTTAGCCCTTAGTAGCCTCAGTCATCAGGCAGTATTGGTTTTGGTCACGTTCAGTACGCTTTTCCTGTTCTGTTAATCTGCCTTATTCTTATCATTAAACTCACCTTCTGCACCTGCTTCTTGACTCCCAGTGTATACAGTGCCTTGCAAAAGTATTCATCCCCCTTGACGTTTTTCCTATTTTGTTGCATTACAACCTGTAATTTAAATGGATTTTTATTTGGATTTCATGTAATGGACATACACAAAATAGTCCAAATTGGTGAAGGGAAATGAAAAAAATAACTTGTTTCAAAATAATTCTAAAAAATTAATAACGGAAAAGTGGTGCGTGCATATGTATTCACCCCTTTTGCTACGAAGCCCCTAAATAAGATCTGGTGCAAACAATTACCTTTAGAAGTCACATAATTAGTTAAAGTCCACCTGTGTACACTCTAAGTGTCACATGATCTGTCACATGATCTCAGTATATATACACCTGTTCTGAAAGGCCCTCTGTCCTCTGTAGCTCAGCTGGTAGAGCACGGCGCTTGTAACGCCAAGGTAGTGGGTTCGATCCCTGGGACCACCCATACACAAAAATGTATGCACGCATGACTGTAAGTCACTTTGGATAAAAGCGTCTGCTAAATGGCATATTATTATTATATTATAAGTCTGTAACACCACTAAGCAAGGGGCACCACCAAGCAAGCGGCACCATGAAGACCAAGGAGCTCTCCAAACAGGTCAGGGACAAATTTGTACGGAGCACCATTAGATCCATTATAAAAAAATATAAAATAATATGGCACCACAACAAACCTGCCAAGAGAGGGCCTCCCACCAAAACGCATGGCCCAGGCAAGGAGGGCATTAATCAGAGAGGCAACAAAGAGACCAAAGATAACCCTGAAGGAGCTGCAAAGCTCCACAGCGGAGATTGGAGTATCTGTCCATAAGACCACTTTAAGCCATACACTCCACAGAGCTGGCTTTATGGAAGAGTGGCCAGAAAAAAGCCATTGCTTAAAGAAAAAAATACGTTTGGTGTTCGCCAAAAGGCATGTGGGAGACTCTCCAAACATATAGAGGAAAGTACTCTGGTCAGATGAGACTAAAATTGATATTTTTGGCCATCAAGGAAAATGCTATATCTGGCGCAAGCCCAACACCTCTCATCGCCCCGAGAACACCATCCCCACAGTGAAGCATGGTGGTGGCAGCATCATGCTGTGGGGATGTTTTTCATCGGCAGGGACTGGGAACCTGATCAGAATTGAAGGAATGATGGATGGCGCTAAATAAAGGGGAATTCTTGAGGGAAACCTGTTTCAGTCTTCCAGAGATTTGAGACTGGGACGGAGGTTCACCTTCCAGCAGGACAATGACCCTAAGCATACTGCTAAAGCAACACTTGAGTGGTTTAAGGGGAAATGTCTTGGACTGGCCTAGTCAAAGCCCAGACCTCAATCCAATTGAGAATCTGTGGTATGACTTAAAGATTGCTGTACACCAGTGGAACCCATCCAACTTGAAGGAGCTGTACAGCACTACAATGTATTGACTTTGGGGGGGGTGAATAGTTATGCACGCTCAAGTTTTCTGTTTTTTTGTCTTATTTTTGTTTGTTTCACAAGAAAAAATATTTTGCATCTTCAAAGTGGTATGCATGTTGTGTAAATCAAATGATACAACCCCCCCCAAAAATCCATTTTATTTCCAGGTTGTAAGACAACAAAATAGGAAATATGCCAAGGGGGGTGAATACTTTCGCAAACCACTGTGCGTTACAGCGATGATAGGGGCTGCAACCTTAAAGGAGAAAGGATCTAAACCATCTGACCCAGGGTTTTTTGGGGTCAAGTTTAAGGAGCTCCTTTAGCACCTCAGACTCAGTGACCGCCTGCAGGGAGAAACTGTGTAGCGGGGCAGGGGAAAAAGAGGGTGGAGCATCGGGGCTAATCGCGTTAGAAGGGCT